GAGAAACTGCTATCTTTCGAACTCTTTTTGCTCCTCCTTCTCTCGCTACTTTCTCTCTCTTTCGACCTTGTATTCCTGCTTCTCGATCTCGGGCCCGACCCTATGGAGCTATCTCTCGTCAACTTCGGTACGTATTTCTTTGGTTTTTGTCAATTTTTTATTTTTTTTAATTTCCATCTTTTTGAGCCTTTGATATTCTTGGAGTAAGATTTTGATTGTGTAATGTGAATTCATGTAATTTTGTTAGTTTTGATGAAATTGAAGATGATAATGGGTGCACTCTATTTGTTTGATGAAATGCTTGTAGAAATGATTTAATGAAATGAAGATAGTAAAAGGTGCACTCTATGTGTTTGATAAAATGTTTGATATGCTACTTGTTGTATACATTGAAGCAATGAAGCTATCTTCATTATATATTACACTAGAACGAATACACACCGTAATTATGAGACAACGATAATTATTTATTTTTAGAAATTGATAGAATCCATTAAAAATGACTTAAATTCTATAACGAATAAAATATCGTTATAATGTATGAAATAGCGAAGGTGTAGGCGTATTTAATCGATCGGGATGGAAATATAACCATAACGAGTATACATTCGTTATGTTGAAAATCATAACGAATTTACTCTCGTTATGGCTATTTTGATTGAATGGCGTGTTAACGATTCTATACATGTAATCTCGTTATGGTTATTTTCAGCGCAACTATCTGCAATACTGTATGATAGTAGTAGCCTGATTATTTTGTATTATTTGTCATCTATATTGGGGATCAGTATGATAGTAGTAGCCTGATAATTTGTTTAATTTGGGTAATTTTCATAAATATCAATTCACTCAACTGTACTTAGACCGTATCAATGGCTATAAGTGACCCAAGAACACAATGTTTTTCCAGCATGTTACTGGTTGTTTCCAGCATTCGTTTAAACTATTTGACTCGGTGAAAATATGTACATGAACAGCTATGGAGTGACATATCCCTCCCGAACAAAAGCAATATTTGTTTAATGATAAATGGACAGTCGAGGTTGACGAGTCATTCGCAAAGTTGTTGGTATCAGCACAACCCCATTTCCCGTTGTTACTTGTAGACAATAAAAAGGATGGGTACTCATTGTTTACCTTGAGTGCGGACATGTTGACTATTAAGTTAGGTACATCGTTTACTTCAGTAGAGTGTGAGCACAGGTTTCAGAAGTTTAGGGAAAGGCATAGGGTGATGAGGGAAATGATTACAAGGTATGAAATCAACCCTGCTGCGAGAGTGGTCTTATGTGGGGACCAAAAGAAGCATGGAAGAGGGTGTTTACTGTACGTTACATGATTGATAAAGTTCCAAACTTTCTATTATATGAGCTTGGTTATCCTTATGTAATTAACATTGTTACTTATTTTGCAGGATGAACCTATTAGCCTGGCCTACAAAAGTATGGGAGACCCGCAATGGGCTAAATTGCAGATGATTTTTGGTACGGTAGACAAGGAAACAGTCCACCCGGCTGTGCATGGTGCTTTGAATCACAGTACCACTGTTGATGAACAAGTGGATATTAAAGGAAAACAACCACCTTTGTAAATTATTTTCGAATCACAGTACCACTGTTGATGAACAAGTGGATATTAAAGGAAAACAACCACCTTTGTAAATTATTTTTGTACTTTTTTATTTTAGTGTTAGTTGGTCCATGAACCTATGTAATGGTTCTTAATTTCTTATTCTGACAAGCATTTGGGATGTTATGACGAAGATTTACTTTTCTTGATAATGTAATGGATTTTGTAATATCCCGACTACTTATCAGTATAAATTATATTTTAGTTCCGATATTATTTTTCGGAATTAATTATTTTCAGTTATTTCAGTCGAAATTACCGGAAATTATTTTCGACGTACCGTTTACGTCCGGAATAATTTTGATAATTAAGTGTTATGCTTAAGTTATTAATTAAGCTTTAATTGGTGATTAATATAATTAATCACTTGATTGGTAGTTTAGCCGCGCGGAACTCACCAATTTCCTCCATGGCCGTGCAATGCACTATCCCAAGTGGTGGAGACTTTCCCCATGCATGCCGATGCCGTGTGATTAGTGTGTTCGTGTTGTAGTATTTTGTCCAAGATTCCCTCATCATTTTTGTCCTCTATAATGCCGTGCACCCCATTGTCTCTTTGCTAGTCATTAGTCCAAGATTCCTTCCACCTTGTCATGTAGTGCATTTGGTTCAATATCTCCAAAAATGCCGTGCACATGTAGTGAGTATTTGTTCAAGCATTTCATCCTCTTTTGTTGGCATCTTTCACGTGACTTTTGAGGTAAGAAGCTTTGGCATCATCTTGCATGAAGTGCCAAGTATTCCAAGCCTTTATGCATGAGTGTTAAGTGTCCAAGTCTTTGACCATGCATTTCCCCCTCTCCCATGCATTCGGTTTTTATAAAGTGAGGCTTTGGGAAATTTAGTTCCATTTTCTTCTCCTTCTATGTCAAGTGCCAAGAGTTAATAGAGAGTTGGGAGGATTTTTAAGTGTCTTTTGTGAGCAATTGCCGAGAGTACCGCACGTACCGCAAGCCATCCGCACGGTGGTCCGAGGACACGCACACGACAACGCATGCACGCACACGGAGAGCCACGCGAGCACGGGAGTCCGAAGTATTGCCGTTAGCTGGGCATAATCGGAGGTAAGCTCCCTGTCAACGTAGGCTAAGATTATTT